AGATTTTGATCAAAACAAGATCTAAAAATTTAGTTACAAGTATATAATTCTCAACTTCTTATTTTACAATAAACAAATCAAAACACTACAAAAATTTGTTGACTATTTATAAATTTATATTCGTACTAACTTATATAATGTAGATATCGACTACAACAGTATAACTCCCAGTTCTCTGCAACATTCTACCGCCACATGTCTGGCGTAAAAMAGATGCATGCAGAGAATGGTCAAAATATTTATCAAACACATCTCTTCCATTACATCAAGACACATCAAACCAGAACCTTAGACTAAAATCTAGAAAACCTAACTACCTAACTACAGTCTACAACAGAACTCATCGAAAACCAGTATAATGGTATGGGTGAATGGAATTTAGAATGGCAGAATTCTGGCATAGATATAACTGCAGCTTAATTTATTAAGAGCCTGGATATCCTGGTCCCTGGACAATATTTTGCTCGTCATGAGTGGGTAACACTTAACCGACTACGCACCATAGAGTAAGATATAGAGTAAGATCTATATCTTACTGTATGCTACGCACTGAACATGGTGGTCGCTCCTGAGAGATGCTACATTAATGGAAGATAAGATATTGTACAGACTATGGCTGCGGCCACTCATTACAATCTATCTCCCACATAATAAGTGATTGACCTCTCCACGCCTTGAACAGGATATTGGAAGAACTCCACGAAACCATCAAAATATGGTCAATTGGATAAGGATGTTCGACAACCAACTTTAGACTCCATTGTTCTTTACTGACGACCTCATGGAAAAGTTACACATAGAATTAATCTTAAAGATTATATTGTTTTATGAATTAGGTATATAATGTATAAATGTATCTATAATTTGTAATGCTTGCATACCATACCATACGAATATACGGTTAATAATAATTATAGATATCGCCCATTCGTCGATTAAACGAAAAATAAAGATAACATAACTACTATTTTAACTACTAATTATAAAAATTCAGTAATTTTAAAGCATTATTGCATTAAACGAGTTAATCAATGAAGAAATACATTTTATATTGAAAATATAATATTATGTTTAGGGATCGGTGTGAAGTAATGCAAAATATTCAAATATTATACTGTCAATAATACAATATTATACTTTTTCTTATTAATCATTTGATATTTTTGAACCCCTTCCCCATAGCATCCAAGGTAAGCGTCTCGCTCGCCACACCCTAGTTACGGCTCTGATACCTATAGGTAGGTGTAACGCTGTAACTAAATTATCAAAAATGTTGTACTGCGCGCTTAATATTTGGTACCTACATACAAGTATACGAAATTGTGTATGGTTTTCCTATATTTATCTTGTATTTATTCTTATTTGTACTTCGTTAAACCACACACACGTCATATAAAATTCAAATAAATGATTAAATTAAGCATCTTAAATTTTAATTATAATTTTCATTAATTATGACTTATGATATCAGATATTGTAATGAGCATAATATGTCGAATATTTTAAAATTCAAACCTTTAAAAATCGTGAAACCACTCTTTTTGTTCACATTCGGATTTCAGATTAAACATGATTAAACAGTAACCATATAACCATCGCATTGGTTATAGGCATTATTTAAGTTATATTAAATATATATATATATATATATATATATATATTATGTATACATTATTTTAATCCACGATCTAAAATAAATTTGATAACTTGGAAATTTCGCATTCATGTATACGTATAATATATTCCATAACAATTTTTTATTATTGTGTATAAATAATTAAATTATAGACAATTCGTTTTTACTATGTTTAACTATCTTTTATTAATAACTAGTAAGTATAGTATTTACAATCAATGATTATTCTGTTGTCACGGACTCACGGTAAAAGTGTGAATCTGAAATTTCAGAACAAGATGGTAATGGTATGGTATGTAATATGTATATATCATTACATTACCAATAAAATAAGTATATTCTTATTGATGGCCGCTTTGCACTGATGGTGTAGTACTAGAATGTCCTTAATTTGATTATTTACAAAATAACATGAAAATGTTTATGAAATATAATATATATGAATGCGTCATTTTACAAGTTAATAGGCTAATGAGAATTATATTGAAAATCATGGGAAATAAAGGATTAAAAATATAAAATAATAAATAAAAATAAAATCATGGATAATAGTTATATTTGTCAGAACAACTGGGTGTTTTATTCGATAATTCCAATTTCGAGTGCGGAGTGACCAGTCTTATTTTAATATACTGCAATTTGGATATTTGAACTGCACACTTTACAGGTAGGTTGGTCGTTTGCGCTCGGGTAAAAAAGAAGACCTAAATAACTATGAAAGTATTTCAACCAGTTTTTGACTGCTTGGTACTATTGGTGTTTTTTCTTAATTTTCTTATCCTCTGCAACTTGCAAGGGGTTTCTTTTATTTCTTATTCTTGGTACTTGGCTGCAGCCGCACGTTATCATTTTGTGAGTTCATCGTACATTGTACGCCCGTTTTGTGTTCGAGTCCGCGGCGTGATGTATATCACCGGTACGGCTGTGGGTCGATGGTCGTCCGCTGCTATGTCGGTGTATTGCACTCTTACGTCGGGTTTGTTACGCGTGATGTGCTCGCGTCGTATACCGCCTTCACACGGTTCGAATGTCAGCCGTCGTGTTTTCGTGTGCTAAGACAATATCGTAGCGTATTTGTCACGCTAAGTGTACCGCCATCGTCCGTGGTATCGCCGTATCGCGTTCTACGTTGTGTTTATCACTCGTATTATACTCGCGGCCTCGCGGGTTCTCGCTGTATACGCAGACGCGGATCATCTGCAGCCACCCTTCGTATCGTGTATCATACTATCATGTAACCGCGCGTAACGTGCCTGTGACAGGCAGGCCTCAGTTTATTTTTGTCCGTGTGGTTTTTTTCTCTGTTTAATCTTTCACCTGATTTATCGATCAAGTCACGGACGTTGCAGATTTGATGTGATCACTGATCATCGTTTGACGTTATATATACATCTGACCCATACTCATGCATGTAATTAATGGGTCACTGGGACATCGGTATCTGTCACGAATCTGAGTGGATGACAGTGATACCTATCTGGAAACCACAGGCGTTTTCAGAAAACCCATTACCTATTAACAATATTAATAATATTCTCAATATGACAACACAGACCATACTTTTAATATTTAATTCAAATAAAGCAACATTTAATTAGTATTATATACCTACCTTATTATAACCCGACGGTTTATTTATACTCACTTTACTACTTTAGTAAATACTTTTTATATTTTAGGATGAATTTCTACAATATCCTATACAAATAGTTCTATCTGTCTTTATAGTTTCGGTATACCCTTGTAGGATTTCGTCAACTATGCTCTATCTAGAGAACTTATAAAGGATAAAGGATCTAGTAGAAGCTCAAAAAAATGCATACCCAAAACTTTTTATGGTTTCTTTTGTAAAGGAATAAATTAGCACGTTTAAAGGTTTGGAGTTGAAGCAACTCAACTATTACAATATTTTTTACCATACTCTAACAAAATGTAGAATTAAAACTATTTTAAACTATTTAAAAAAAAATTTGAAGCTTTTTAGCTATATTTTATATTGTCTGTAGTTATTTCACTTAGCTAAAATAAAATCATACTGTCCACTACAATACATTTTACGGAATTATACAGGAATCATTTTAAAATTCTTTTATTTTTACGTATTGAAAACTGATGTAATATATTTATAATTCACTAATAAGAATTTAAGGAGATGTTTGGAGGTACTTAGCAACCCTTAGTTTATTTTTAGCATTCACAGATGGTTCACTTATAAATATTTATAATTAAGATTCAATAATAAACATTTTCTTTTACTCAGTATTATCATTATTTTAACAATTTTAAGTGTAATACATAATATATATTATATATATACATACTTTATATGTACTTACATTACACAATATTAATAAAGGCCACATCAAAAGGTCAATAGATAATATTAGTCCCTTATAAAATTACGATAAAATCACGTGTTATACCTAAGCTATATTTAATTTAATCTACAAAAGTTATAGGAAAACATGATTAAAAAATTTAGAGAAATAGCGAAATATCTATGAACGAACATTCAACATGGTTTATAATTATTAGGTTTTATAAAAAAAATAAAAGTAATTTCATAATACTCCATTATTATTATTTTGAAACCCAAAACAAATAGGAAACATGAAATATTCATATAACTAAGAATTTTCATGAATTAATTGATACAATCATAAAAATTAAAATATTTTTTAAAGATAGTGGAAATTGTCCTCTCGTTGTGGTTTTCTATGTGTAAATAATAAAAGTTTCTTAAGAATAACTATAATTTTTACGCAGTTTACATGATATGTACATTTGAGCTACGAGGCAATAGTTTAAAATCGAGGCCTAGCATCTTACACATCAAATTCGTGTTTCTTAAAAATAAAGTGGTTGTTAATATTTATAATTKTATATGATTTTTGTACCTCCGTAAATTATGGACATAATTTTTATATTTATAAATCCGATGAATTATTGTGGATTCATTAACAATAATGTTATATTAAAATGAATAATATGGTCCAAGCAGTAAACAACACCACAAACCGACAACACAACACGGGCGTCCGCGCGTCCGTCTATACACGTGAGATCGTCGGCCCGTCGGCGGTGTTTCTCATAACTACTTCGGTTTAGTATAATAATTGTTGTTATCATTATTATTATTATTATTATTATTACTATACAATATTATGGTATATCGGCGCGCGCCGACGGATGTTGCGCGTATGTGCTTACCGGCCACTTCGGGTGCGTCTCGTCTCTTGGCCCGGAGATTGGGGTAGGGTTGCCGTTGCCACCGCCGCCGCCGACACCCCCCGCCGACGGCCACGAGTTTTCGGATGGAAGGCGTGCGTGCGAAGATAATCCAACGTGGCTGAGCACCGTGAGCCGACGCGCGGCAGTTACAATTGCGATACCGAGTCGCACACCGTGCCGTTCCGCGACTCGATGACGATTTTCAATAATAATATTTTGTTATTATATTATTGTTTTATTATGCTTCTACCTACATCATAAATAATACCGTTCTATCAATTTCGGTGTTGAATTTTTCCTCGTCGCCCGCACCGCAACGAGTATCCCCGTTATACGTTACCTCTGTTAATATTTAATAATTTCATTTTTCTATTAACTCGCCCACATTAAAGTGTTATATTGATTATAATATATATATTATCATTAAATATTTGTGTTTTGTTGTTATAATAAAATAGTTTAATTTATGTGTTAATTAATTTTACATCGTTATATGAAATATATATATATATATATATATATATATATTTCTATGTTATACACAGTAATATTGTTGTATGCGATTGACGGCCAATAACATGGTTTGTCCGAAGACTAGCAATACTAAATACTTCACCATCAACACAGTTGCGTTTAAATTTTCAAATTTCTGACTTCAAATTCGGTCGTGGTGATTCCGTCATCTACCAGATACCGAGGTTTGTAATTGATTTTTTTTTTGAACAATTAATAAATTAAACGCACGAAAAGCATTATATAATATTATTATGATTATGTTATAAATTTATGATATTATTTCATACATAATAATATGCTGCAATATATTATGTATTCAAAATCGATATATCATACACGGAACGACTTTCAAACAACAATATATTACGTGGAACTTGTATTTATAATTTCGTTGATTACTGTCGAATTTATAGCTCTGGGTGTTGTAATTTATTTATGTTTTACATTGTTATATATAGATCGCTGAAAGTGCACATAGTATGGTAAATTAATATATATATATTCTACTATTTATAATACTATAGTCATTTGGGTAAAATAATACTGTTATAATAATCGCGTAGACTCGTTTATAGGTGTAGTCATGTATTAGATAGTATATATATATAGTGGTAATACATATGTAAATATGTAACGTACACATAAAATAATCGTTGACTCTCAAATATTCAAACGAATAAGGAAATATCTCTGTCCATCCTAATAATCAAAGTAGTCTGGACCGTTAGTAAAACTTCGCCGAGCATTGCCAACTACGGATCAGTATCGTATACTTATTTTATAATATTATAACTTTTTGATGGTCAATGTAATGTTCCATATTATTATTTGCCATCATAACTACAATGAGCGCCTGAAGTTTTTCATGTGACGGTCAAAAACCTAAGTTGAAATCACGATTACAACTGTAAAAGTACGTGATTTTTAGAAGTTTAATATTTCGTGTTATCATGAATCATGATATTGGGTATTCAGCAAAATGTTAGGTATATATGTGCAGCACTCTCGCGCTCCCGGCTGCGGTMCAATCGATTGCGCCAAATACAATKCGCAAAAATGTCCCGAGGTGTGCCGCTTTTGGCCACCGGAGGGCAGGAACATCAATAAAATGCAGTTCGTCTAAACTACAGGCTTGTATTGCTTGTAATGCTTATAATTAACACGTGCGCACAGTTTAACAGTAACCGATACTGTAAAACTAAAAAAAAATAATGTATTGAAAGAAACATAGTAGCCAGTAGGTATACATTAAATATTTATTAAAATATTTGAATATAAGAACGTAAGTGTTCTCAAATTTAAATATTTCTCATATTAAAACCACTTTAGACCGTTTCTAAACCTTTCTTAACCTTATTTTTACATAGATATTGTTGGTTTTAAATTGCTAATAAAAGTCAACAATAAATTATGTTTATAGTTTTGTAGTTTTGAAAATAATTAAACCTATTACTGCAAGTATCAATCATAATTTTATGTCATTTAAATTATATAAAAATATTATAAATTATTTAATGACCGATAATATTCTATGAACATTGCACTATTGACTATATTGATAAGTCCATTTTTAAATAAGCTATTAAGACATTTTAATAATATATAATTTTATACTTATTTCAACTACTTACTAACTATATAGTATTTAACTAATGGAACATGTCATATAATAAAATATACGATATTATTATTAGTTCAATTATTTATTCCATTTAAAAATGTATATTTTATTCTTTATTTGTTTAATTTTCTACCCTTTCCATTTAATCTGTTTGTGTTGGTTGTACAGATTGTTTATGTCGAATAAAAATTAAAAAAAAAATTTGTTTAATTTTAAAATTTCTTAATAAGTAAAAACAATGTAGACATTTTACGTAAAAATAAAAGAATACATTTTGCTTGGAGCAAGTTCAAAGATAAATTACAGTAAACTGCATTAACCAAAAATACAATTAAAAAAAAAAATKTAATAATTATTAATTATTAAATATAAAACTGTCTGACTTCAACGATACCTAGCGTAGAACTGTTTTTACAGTGGTTTCGTAAAAAATATTTAATTTAAAGAAAAGGGTCTGCACCTACCTATTTTAAAGCTTTACTGTAAGTTAATGGAGTTTCAAGTTTGTTTCCATCACACTTACAAATATATTAAGAGTTACATATTATTTACGTAAGGATGGTCTACCTAAATTATTTTGTAAATTCATATTTAATATTTCATATAATGTTAAAAAAATAGATGCATATTATAATTTTTCGAACTTCTTAATAGTTTCCTAGAAACATGGTCGATGAAAATTTACAAAAATAACCATTATTTATAAAACCATTTTTTTAAACAGAGTTTTAATTTTAAATATTTGTTTAGATACAATATTTATTGTAGATTTTTTTTCTTATATTTATTGATAAATAAATAATAACTATTATTTAATTTAAATTTAAAGACACTTGTTATATTAGTAACCACCAATGGCCATCAAATAGATATAGGTACAAAGTTTGAATTTTAAAAATTTTGTTTAATTTTGAGTTTAATGCATCTGTATACTATAATAGTATAATATAAATACAATGCTTGATATTATAATATTATTGCATGGAAGTTTTTAAAATTAACAGTTATATAATTATTTTTAGTTACATTTTCACTTAGACTGATTTTACGGTCTACGCCAGGCTGGTCAGAGGTATTTAAACTGTGCGTTGCGGTTACAAGGCGCACCGCAGTGCAGTGTTGATTTGAGGAACAAATAATAATTATAATAATAATGATGACGATTAATATTTTATTTTATTCTTAACGTAAAATATTTAATTTTAGTTTTCTATTCATAAATATAATATTTGTTCTCAAAATATTTCAATAATATAGGTAACTACCTATATAATAAATAAAAACATGTAGTATTTATACATATATTTAAACATTTGTTCATTTTTGGTTTTTATTAATTTGGGGAACACCATGTTGTGAAAAAATGGAAAAGTCATGGCATCATAGAGTTTGTATAACTCTGGTATACGGACTATGTTGTTGTATGAACTTACTGACTTATTTTTATTTTTATTTTTTATTATTATTCATAAAGTTTTCCTGACAAAGTCATCTAAACTTAGGTTTAGGTATAATGTACAAAAATGTTAGCTATTTATAAAAATGACATTAACATAATAATATGTAGTAAATAACTAGGCTACCAAATTAGCGATAAACATTAATTGATTTAAGATAATGTTACAAGCAATGGACGATATACAATAGAATTTTCATTGAAGATAATCTTCAAAAATAAATAAATACTCCATTTATAGAACACTTCTATTTATCACTAACACTCATTAAAGTTTTAATGTTACTCAGTATTTTTTTTTCACATAATTTTAATTATTATTTGTATGATAAAAGTGCATATGTTAATTTTCACATGTGGAACATTTAGTTCAACATGTGAAGAATGTAATATATTTAATTTGTTCTCATCATTTTTAGTCATATTAAACTCATAACTCACAGCGTTTTATATAATTAATAATTTATTACCTATCTATGTGTTTTAAATCTATACTAAGTATTTTTAGTTATAATAATGGAACAAATTAAATTGATGCCATCTTGTTGAGCAGCTATTGTTACTATAATGTTTCATAGTAATTTTTTTTAACATATTAAATGATTAGATTATTCCCTTCAGTATAAATAACAGCCCAATTTGGAAGTGGTCCGTTATAAACAGTGTGGGCGACTATCATGCCACGTGCGTGCTCTTTTTTTTAGCCACACAAAATCCTGTTATATTAAATATCTTTGAGTATTCAATAGATTATTTTTAAAAGTTAAGTTAATTTTATACATAAAAATTCGTATTGTAATATATTAATTATAATATATTTTATTCTGATTTCTAGGTCATACAATTATTGTTATTAAGGTACACGCATTTTGGTATCAGATTTAATTTATCATCTAAAAACAAATTAAAATATATTTTTTTATATTGATTTTAAGAATAAACTATAAATACATGATAGTTTTATACTACACGAATACTTCTGATATCATATTAATTATTATATTTTATGCATTTTGATAATTTGCAGAGAGTACTCAAAATTGTTGTTAAGATTAAAGTGTTTAAATTATAGTTTCTAAGTTTGTACTACGTAATCGCGCATTCAGTTGGTATTCTAAAGATTGTATTTATAAAATGTGTTGGTATTTCAAATTTTTGGTTTTTTGTAGTTTTCCATTACCTTTTTGAATGTCGAATGTCACCCTTTATATGTATAATATAAGAACTATAAAATTATGATTTAGTATTAATAATTGAGTCAATTGAAAATCATTTTTTAATTTTTTTCAAAGGTTTTTTCTGTTTCATTATCTAATAATTATTTATTAAAAGAAAAACAATAATCAATTACAAAGTTACAACAATGGTATCCAGGTGTATGAACTCAGCATAGCGAATTATCCGTGGTAATCAAAATGCCATGTATAGCTACATACATAGGTACACAAACACATATATAAATACATTGATTTTAATGAATAGTAAATGTAAATAGTACTAAAAAATATGTGAAGAATAAACACATGTATAATTTATTTGTATCATATTCTGAATTTATATATTATATTTGAATATGTTCTTACATAAAACATTTATGATTTATCTAGAATTTGAGAAATTTATGTATGTATGAAATAAAGTAGGTTAGAAATACATTCTTACTATTTTTTAATAGTAAGAAAAATATTCGTTATCTGATATTGCAGTTTTAATAAATATAATATCTCACTTTTTAATGTAGGTACACAATAATCTTTTGTTGGATCAGAACGTAAAAATTCGAAAAATATTATTTTCTGATTTATATTTATCCTGGAACTGAATTGAGATTTGTGATTTTGCCGAAAGAGCATTTACTGGGAAATATATTACGGTTGATACTTGATAATACCTAAATTATTAAATTTGAAACCATCGGAAAATATCATTTTAGAATCGTATTTATTTGTAAAGTATTTTGTTGGAATAATATTAGCTGAAAAAAGTATTTTGTTGGAAAATATTTGTTTGAAATCGTATACCGCAACCTAATATTTCCGACGAAATATTTTTTAATACGATTCCAACAAAATATTTAATACATTGTTAAGTATAATACTACAGTTCAAGCAATCTAATATGTTTCCAGTAGAATAATTTGCATAACATTTCAAAAACGCCAAATGTATGATTCCATACTAATATAGTAATATCCTATAAAAACGGTTTAAATAAACAATAATATTTGTTGTCAACGAGAAATTTGCAAAGTTATTTATCTATAAAAATATGATTCCCAAGAAATGAATTTTGCTCATTGTATATAATTTAAATGCATGCATTTAGCATATAGGATACTAAAGTAATAGATAGCTACCAGGCTATCTATTACTTACATATTTTACTATGTATATTGAGGAGTATTTAATATTATAGTTAGTGATGTTTTTGAAAGTGTATGACTTATTTATTGTAATATCTTTTTATAGAATGTTAAGTCTCCAATTAATACAAACGAATAAGCCCCCTATCAAAATTAATAAACTCTATATAATAAGACTATTATAATATTATAATTATAAACTGTAATGCAATACTATTTCACAACCTGCAAAATTGTTTTATTGATAATGAATATCAAATATATATTGTATAATAGCAGTAATGTAAAATATTTTATTACAGATGGCATTATTAGTGGAATCACGGTCGTTTCGGCCGTTCAAGTCCAGTGAAGAATATCTTTATGCTATGAAAGAAGATTTAGCTGAATGGCTGAATAGTTTATATCCTGAGCTCTACATTAACGTAAATAATTTCATGGATAGACTTGATACTGGCGTGGCTTTGTGCAAGGTAAAGTTATACCTATTTTATTTTTATTATTAATTTAAAATCATCGTGAATCATGGTGGATTAGTAGGATATAAATTAAAATTAGAATTATGTGCTGTGATAAAATATTATCGGACTAAATCATCCGGTTAAAATCCAACTAACGTTTCTATCCACTAAATATATCTTAAGTCTATACTCTAAGTAACACTATTCAATATATATTTGTAAGCATCTACCCAATAAATTTCAATGTTTTGTTAGAATCAGAGTTGGAATGGACTTGGCATGGATATAACTATGTTGATTTTTTTAATGACTCTGGAAGATTCTATTTAAAAAGGTCATTCTTTTTTGACGACAAGTATTTTTAACTATACTGCATTCTTTTCTTAAAGTTTTCTTCTACATTTAGAATAAATAACTAAATATATCGATGTACATTGTACATGAACAGATAAGCCAGAGTTAAGGTATGAAAATAAATTTACATTATTTAATCAGTATTTAATAATATAATATTATTATTAACTCAGTTTATGAAATAAAAACAAAAACTTTTTTTACACATTTCTTTACTTTTTATGAAAATTTTTTACTTTTGTCTTAAATAAATAACATGTGTTTTAATATAATTTTATTCAGATTATTTTTGTTCTTTAACTATGTTATAAGTGCTCAACTAGAATACATTTTCTATTATAAAAATATTTAATCAATTTATCATATGATTATTTTTTCAAAATAAATGCATTTACATACAACCAAAATAATAATAATTAATCAAAAACATAGAAATGTATGGTTAAGTAACATTATATAATAATTAACTGGCTCACATTGCTGCTTCGAAAAATTCAGAGTACAATTTGTATAAATGCTTGTTACTAAATAGTTATTATTCATTTCTAAATTTAAGTAAAAGTAATAAATAATAATTAATAATTAACCTTTTTTATCTCTCTTGTAGTTGAATAACATTATAAATTAATTGAAGAGTTATTTATGTATATAGTTTAAGGAACAGTGACGAAATATAATTGTGTTAGGTATATGTATTTGTTTGATACTTTAAAACAATCGAATACCTACCTTAAAAAAAAACCCATCGATGACTGTATAATAAAGTAATAACTTATAAGTAATATGGATTGAGAATTTGAGATAAATATTTTTTTCTATATCAGTAAGTATACTTTCATAATATTAATCATCATTTAAATAAATATACTTGGGATTTCAAAATATTTAGTACACTTTTAAAAAATAATTATAAAAATTTGAAAACATGGATATAATATTGTGTTTGAAAAAAATTAAATTAAATTCATTTGTTTGTTTGTTATTATTATATAATGCACTAAATTATTATTGAAAAATATTTTTTTCATCATTGTTCGTGTTATTTATTCGTCTCGATAATTAGTTTAGACTATTTTAAGTGGTCTTGATGAAGAGATTTAAAGGAAATAACCACTTATTATATGGAATCTATTCAATTAATCTGGTATAATTTAAGGCAATCTGTAAAAAAGTTATTGTTTTAAATATTATTATCGCGTACCTATTATAATAATTAATCATTAATCTGCATGTGTGTACATACAAATATTCGCTTATTATTTGTGTACACATCATAATATATGGGATAGTCAATTACTAACTACATTTATTATATATTTAAGTGCTATTATAAGTTCTTGATAGATCCTTATTCCAGTAAATAGTATCGGTTATATTCAACACATATTATATTATATACCTATAGGTAGTTTCTATTCCGCATACCGCCGAACGCGGTACGCCCGTACAGTATTGTATCGCATACGATTGCAGCACGATTTTCTCTTTCCTGTAGGAAATCACGTACAACGTGCTTCATCCATTTATTGATAGTCTCCATTATGTGTTTAAAACAGCTTAATGGATTAGTGGCCCCTATAATTTATCGGTGAAATAAAGTAAATTGACAAATAATCCATGTATGGATATAAATAGTTGTTTTATTTTAACTATTAAGTTCATAAACATTTTTCCGGATTGATCTACTTTGACGGGATTTTAGGGAATTGTTGTAGTTCGTTTTCTCTTASGTAGGTATTTTATTATTAATATTATCAGTTTCAAAATCGTATACATATATTATTATTGTTTATTTAAATAATGTTGTAGAGAAAATCTACTGTAGTTATGCATGAATTGCATTCAATTTATTGATCTAAAATGCAATATTCTCTCGATGATGTGTACTATGCTTGATGTTATCTCTAAAATATACCGTACTATAATATAAGCGATTTTATGTCATTAGTATACTATATGCGTCACTAAACTATATTGTATTGTTCTTATTTTCATTTTGAATTCATTTAAACCTAGGATAGCATTTATGGAGTTATACATAAACAGATTATTATTTAATAGTGTTTGTAATATTATTCGATAAGTATAACTTATAAATTACGTTATACCATAATATAATAACTAAACTGAACACTATAATATTGTTAGATTACAATATGTACAAAGTCACATGTTTCTACTTATATGTAGGCAAGGAATCTTTGAAAAATACTCGGTCAACTTCATAATTCTGTACCTTTTATAAAAATAAACCTAACTATTTTTTAATTATAATTTTTTCCAAATTTGTAATATCTTGTCTTTTTATTCATAATTTAGTGTATTCGAGTTATTAAAATTAATTCTTCCTGCTTTTAAATTAAAAACAAATATGTAAGTATTTTTTAAAAATGAATAGGTACGTCTAGTTTTAGAAATATGGTTGAACTGTTATTCAAGTTCAAAATATTTTGTTTTCGGTTCCCATGATTACATAATTGTTTTCTTACAATGCATGACTGAACTCCGGAAATGTTATAAGTTATAACTGATGAGTGTCGGTTATTGTATCTTTCAGAACATAGATTTTTAATTATATAGTAACACATATACAGTTGGATAATAATGACCACGGAATATAGTGATAAAAATGTAGTGATATGTACATAAATAACAATAAATAAAAATTTATTTCAGTTAACGGAATATTTTATCAACAAAATGATAAATTATTATTATAATATTACTCAATTCTTATTAATTTATTCAAATAAATAATTATTATGGTTGGTCTTAAATTTATATACGTTTAAATTTATATTTTGTATTTTTATAATATACTCGTATACGTGAGTACGCGACCAATAAACCTTAACATGCTGATGTTTTTCAAGAACATTGGAAATGTTTTTTGGACTAACTAAATCGGGTCAAAATTAATGGTTATAGTATGTCAAACTAGTGTACACCAGTATACAATATACATGATGATTCGCAAATTATATTTAAGTGTAAAGGTCGAAAAGAAATCTGGTAAATAGATAAATAAATAATAATCATAATATTTGAGAGGTCAAAAACCGTAGAAAGTATATAGTTGAACATTTCAGATATTTTATATTATTATAATATCATATACCTATGCATTTTCAATGATAAATGCAAAATGTTTTGAGGAATCTCTAAATATTATTTGACTATTTAGTTCAAAAAACACGAGATATCTAGCCAATAGCATTTCGAAAAACAAATTGTACCCATTATTATTATCTTATATTGTTGAAATTATTCATAATAATATTATAATATAATATATTGAATAATAAAATGATCTTATGGTTAATGGTATTTGAATGTAATTATTCTTTATATTTTATTTTTATTTTTTATCAATTATTATTACTTCAGCCTGACGCGTTGGAACGTACATACAAAACTGATATTCATTCATAACGAGTATAACGTCTTGCATAAATTATAGTCTAATCTGAATCTATATAATATTCTCTACGAACGTAATTTATTTAATAAATTCGGTTTATTTGACTGCAGTAAAGTATTTATTACAGTGAATTATTGAAAAATCTAAGTTAGTGTTAGCTACTTATTTTATACGTCATGCCCTCATGCCTATTATTCTGTACTCTACACTCCACTACCTATATATAATTTATTGTAGATTATTGAGATCTTTATCAATTTTCATCTATGATATACTTATTTAACTATTTTGAGAATATTCTTGATTATCCTATATGATATTACTTATTGCGTCATGCTTAATTTTAACTTATTAATAATATGTTTAGGGCTGTAGGTATAATTATTTTTTTCTAACTGATTTTTTTCCAACCGATTTTTCTGCGTAACGTTTGTTTGTCATCATAGCAACCTAAATCAATAATATATATATATATAATATTATAATCTTAATTCATTAAATTTTTCCTAGTTAATATTTATATATATAATAAAGTTTACTAGATATTTTTTTCATTGCACTATACACCAAAATATATCGATTCTTCGAWTTTCCTTTCAGAAGAAAAATATCTAATAGGGAAAAAACTAAAATGTAAGAAGTTTCTTATGAAAATAGTAATAATTAATGGCAGGAAATACATTATTTTGATTCGTTTTGGTTGTCGCCTATAAGGACATTGCGCTGGTTATTTTTAGTCTATTGGAAAGCGTCATACCTGTGTTTTGATTGACCAAAGCAGATGAAAAATATTATATAGTTTGGGTAAAAAGAAAACGATATACTTGTTTACAGAGAAATAGAAAACAGTGATACTTTCAATGCAAGTTGAATTCAGATTAAAATTTTTGCTGCGTAAATGGCTACGGTTGATTATTTTCCGCAATTCGATTTGCTCTACATTGTCTTTTTTCACCGCCTTTCTGAAATCTTATATGCGTGGACGTTTTCTATAACTGAATATAAATCATAGAATAGTATAGAATAGCTCTTTAGTTTTGTAATGAAATACCTCTATATATCTATGAGTAACTTTAGGAAATTAATAGTCATAAGTTAACACCGATAACAATATAATATATAGGTATTGGAAAGCTATATAGGTTAGTTTCATAATATGCTATGCTTAAACATAATAGGTATAATGTATTTATTATATGTCTATATTATTACACATATAACAAATGTTTTTAGTTTCTCGACTGGCACAAACTTATGTGTCAAAAAAATAAAAATTATTATGCAACTTTGAACTAGCATTGATTGAGATTTTGGCAAGAAATCACGATTTAATATTTTTATTTTTTACGAAAATAAATGTATAGGTAGTTGATTTTTTAAGTTTTATTTAAAGTACTTTACTAGGTAGGTACTTTATTTAGAAATATATTTGCAATGTTTTTAAAAAAAGGTTTCAATAATTTTTGTATTATACTAATTTACACTATAATGGTTGGGTATGATTTTTTATTAATGTTCTGGTTTATGCTTTAATTTTTAATTTTAATATATATAATAAATATCATTAACAATACTATTTATTATATTAATGGCCGTAATAATATTACTCTGGTTAAAAGTTCACAAGTACTTAACTTTATACGTGGATTAGAGCGCAAGTACGTTTAGAAGCCCTTTTAAATTTAGCCTTGCTTTAATAACAATGGACTGACCTAAATAAATCTTTTATATTGGATTCATTTAAATTTCCACACAAAGTTATGATACCTATGTACACATATAAATTGTTCAGTTATTGTTCTTTGATTTAATTAATATTCAATAAATTAAAAATAAATAAATATTTACCCTGTAATAAATACAACACTATAATTAAATACCAGAAAACTATACACTTATGTTTTATTATTTCATACCTACATTGTATAAGTAGTAATAAATAAAACTACAATACCAAAATACATCACTAGAGTGAATTAATAGAGTTGATTAGAAATATTTTTTATAGGTACCATTATTGATAATTTGTGAACAATTTTGTATACATTATGAAGACTTGCAGGGATTAAATTTATATTATCATGATTTAACCCAAGTATAGGTAGTTTTTCTGTAATATGCTGGATTTAGTGTTTACTTTGGTACCTATATGTGACAAAAATTCACTATCATACCGGAATATTGTCTGCAATCAGCATACGCAATTGTTTCTATCTTTTTTTTACTGAATTAAACAATTGATTGAGTATAATTACGGTTAACTTATTCTGGTATTCAATATACAACTGTAGGTATTGAATTGTTGAATGGACACTTTTGTAGTAGGTGTCAAGTCTAGTTAATACTAAATGAGTATTTCTTACAGTTTGTTGTATTAAACTGGACTCTCTTGTTTGCACTCTGTTGGATACTTGCACAGATGACGTATCAATATTCAATTCATAATAAATACTAACACACCATCGGTTTGAAGCAAAGTATCACTATTTTAATAAACGTCCTTGACATGTAAAAAACTGGAACATGGTAGGCTCATCTAACATTTTGATATTTTTTTTATTTACAATAACTACGTAGGTGTCAACTCGAAAATAATAATTTGATTATCTGATTGACAGAAAATTATAGACATTACTGTGTAGTAGTATTTATTTTACTTCAATATATACATTATAGGTACATATACCTCACATCTCATTATAATTATAGGTATCGAATTCTAAACAAATTATCTAAAAATATCTAATAAAGATTTAATGTTCTATAGTCATTACCAAAAATGTCTTTGTTTATATAGCTATCTTAAACATAATATCCAATTTAAATTTCTGACAATGTGTAATACACGGTGAAGGTAAAAATATTAAATACATTATTATAAGTTATAAGTAGGTATTAGAAATGTTAGCTAAAGTCTAATGTCAATAAAAACTCTAAAATAAAGTCTATTTTTATTTTTTACTTTTTTAGCATTCAAACTGTGTAAGAAATTATGCAGAGGAACACGTGAATCGAAGACAAGCAGCTGGGAAATCTAATATTAGTGGCATTGCGAGCATAGTTCTTCAATTACCACCTGTACGATATTTACCCGGCGCTAAAGGTGGTACATTTTTTGCTAGAGACAATGTTTCCAATTTTATAAATTGGTGCAGAAATGGACTTGGTGTGTTTGAGTGTCTCCTCTTTGAAACAGATGATCTTATAATGCGAAAAAATGAAAAACACGTGATTTTGTGTTTATTAGAGGTAAAATTGTGTTTTAGGATAAAGTTTTAAAAAAAAATTAATGAAAAAAATGTTATTAACTTTTTTTTAGGTCGCTAGACGTGGTGCTAGAGTTGGTGTGCCAGCTCCGATGTTAGTGCAAATGGAAAGGCAGATTGATCGGGAAATCGCTGCAGATAAAAAGTATGCTCAATTTTCACAAGGAACTGATTTTAATGATGGCGATGATACAGATTTGAGTGACGGCGAAGATTTATCCGAATATGCACCATTGCCTCAAATTGTTACTAACGATTTAAAAAGCTTAGATGAAATGGTAAGCGTGAAAATAGAGATATTTAATGAAAAATCAACAATATTTGATGATAGAAATGTAGATAGGTATTACAGAATTCATTGCTATACTTGTTAGTTGCTACCTCTTGGATACCTTCTTAAAGTTTAAGTAAATCTATACATATATACCTATCATATATTACAAGATTAAATAATATTCTACCTATTTAACCATAATATAATGATGTACTTAAGTGTATTAAACTTAATATTGGGAATCGATCCTTTAATTTATTCTACATGTTAGAATATCTAAAACACTAGTACATAATCATAATAATATGATATGCGTAACCACAATCTTATATTTACGTTTTACGTATAAATATAGGTTAATATTGAAATGACATACCTATCAATAAAAGTACTGTGCGATCATATGATAAAACCACAAAAATATGGGAAATTAAATTTCTGTAGTATTGAGAATGTTAACTATTAAACTGAGAAATATACATTTGTTATTGTATGTCTGATAGTGTATAGTCGCCTGTAGCGGTATGAATAATGTAATAGAGTAACGGAATTATACTGTGGTTCGCAGCGTAATTTACAGGCAAAATTATATTATTTATCCTCAATTAAATATTGGACTAAAAGTAGCCAGTTGGTGTTTACTTAAGTATAAAAAAATAATTATTAGGTGAAAGGTAGAATCCAAGATTTTTTTATACCAGAAATATTTCAAACGAGCAAATATATCTAGAATTATGACATTAAAATTGTTTATATATAATTTTTGAAAAAATTAGTAATCATAAGTAGGTGTGTTATTAGGGAATTGGGCATTTATATAAAATTGCGAGCAGTAATATTTACAAAACATATTTTTATGATTACCTAATATTCTTGAACTAAACATAAAGCATTATGTCCATATAAAATATTTAAACTTACATATAGTATCATGAAAAAACCCAGTAGGTATTGTTTATAGAGTTGAGATTAATACATTTTACCTGAATAAATTAGATAATATATTCATAATATATTTTGATATTTTGCGTTTAATCAGAATTAAAAATTAAGTGTATTCAAATATATTATCAATTTTCTGGTATACTTACACTATATTATGGACAATAATATTATATTATAGTCGGTCAATATTATTTTAGCATCGAAAATCAGTGTCAAATAATATTATTTTATATTTTGTTGTGTTTACCGATATCATGATGATGTTCGCATAAAAACTATGATCCTTTATCGGCGTGAATGCCACATATAACCTTGATTTTTATTGGACAAAAAGAAAACGTCGTGACACCGCGAATTAGTGAAAACAAAGCGTTAAGAAGTTGCCGACCTTAGCCACCGGTGCAGCGTACCCGGGCACCACTAGCACGAACACTGTGGATTGTGATTGATACAATACTACATCACATACACCGGGCCCAACTTAATTAAAATTTAGTACAATGACATGAGAATAAATTCAGTGCAATGCGCAGTTATAATGCTAATTAAAACAAAACAAAACATAAGTCGGCATCGCAACAAAAAGTTCGATGACTAACATGGGTACATTGTGTACCTACTATTTGCGTGGAAATATATTTTATCCGAACGAAATACTTTGCTGCTTAAATTGCACTAGTAGATGAAACCTATGTAGTAAAATAATTGCTACACCAAATAGTATTATATCATGTGAAAAATAATACATAAGTAGATACTAGAAATGTTAATACTATAAAACCAGTTATTTCGGTAAGCACTTCGTGGGTTGATAATCACTATTCTATAATATAATATTCGTATAACTAATTTATATTATTTTCTATAATACCCTTTATCTCACGCGCGATCTGTATGTTAATATTATGTTCAATATTCTTATTATTTGATGTACGATTACGAGAGGAGAGAACAAATTATAGTTCAAGTTATTACGTTATCTTAAAATTACTAAATATCATATTAAATATTTAAAAAAAATTAGTAGGCATTATATGTATATTATGCCTATGTAACTCGTATCTATGTTTATCTTATTTTAAAATAATTAAAATTTTTTTTCTAACAATAGTGTTATAATGGTAAAAATATCTATTGCAAATAGATCATAATATACATTATACAGCGTAAAATTATAATAAAACATATATATACATAATATATATTATATAAATACATTTTTATTTTTAAATTTTCATATTATAGATGTTCTTAGATATTATGTAGGTTAAAATTTAATATAGAAAAAAATATTCAGTCTTTTAAAATCTGATAATTTAAAAATAATAGCATAAAACGGATGCAATTATATATTTTTTTATTATTCATATAATATGGACTGAAAAAAGTATATAGGTTTCAACTGGAAAAAAAATCGTACATGCGATTATATTAGGTACCTATAGCTAGTTTGATTTGTCTAAGTATTGTTATTACTCTATTATTTTTGGTCACTGATATGGAATTGAATTCACGAATTTCAGTAGAGTACTTTCTAATTTTAACGATAGTATTTTTCATATTATACTAGGTTGCTGTGAAACATGGTAGGTACCCTACATACACGTATGTTCAGGTGCCAAGTACAAATTACTGCGTCCGGCATGGTTGCCGTACCCACAAAATCTCATCTCCCTACTATTTTTTTTTTATTATTATTGATTAGCCAAACGTACGCGTAACCTTATTTTTTATTTCGTTAGGTACGGGATCTTGTGGAAAGGTGCAAATGTCCGACCCAGTTCCCAATGATCAGAGTGTCCGAAGGAAAATACCGTATCGGTGATACTAAAGTCTTAATATTTGTCAGAGTGAGTAGATGTCGTATATTAAATGTTATATTAATATGTTAATATGCAACCGTTTTTGTACCATATACTTATGTTCGTTTAACTAATATATTATATTGTTGTTCTATTCGGCGTGCATATATAACAATATCATCCTTATATAGATACTGAGGAGTCACGTTATGGTCAGAGTGGGTGGAGGTTGGGACACACTGTCTCATTACTTGGACAAACACGATCCGTGCCGATGCAAAACTGGTAAGCCACATTTTACCTAAAGCGAAAGAAAACGAATATAATAATATGTAATGGCAAAAAAAAACATATCTTGTCCGTTAAACAACACACCGTAAAGCCGTACATTATTATGTTGCCGCATTTATAATATATACCTACGTATTAGTGTAAAGTTTATGGGCGGCAGGGAATAAAAATATAGTATGTTTCCTTCAAGGTCGACAGTAATAAAGTATTGGTGTAATAGGCTATTTGTCGAGCAATTGATTCTTGCGATCTCACTAGATACATTATATTATGTCGTTGTATAGCATCGTAGTTAGCTTTGGTCATGCGTTTGTTGTTTTATTGTCGTTTTTAGCTTCTATTTTTTTTTTTTTTTTTTTATTAATTTTTTTTAAATAGCTCATCGAGCCCCGGTGTCTGCAAAACTGACGGGTGTCAGAAGTGGCGGGCCCACGTTGGAAATATCGCACGCCCAAGTACACTACGAAAGGTCAGTACTTTGTTGTATTTTATTATATTATGTTTGAATAATACGTTTAGCATGTACCGAGTAGGATTTGCATGCAGTATATTATTATTCATAGGCATGTTCAACTGCGCATTTATAATGCGGAACGAGAAAAACATTTAATAATCCATTTGGTTTTTTGTTTAAAAATAAATAAATATCTTGTAAATTCGCAAGAAATTTTCTTCTACGGAAACTGACATAATAAAATCAGTAAGACATAAGTGCTGATGAGTTTCAAAGTACTAGGTTATATACTTATATTATATTATTATGATTTATGACATTGCAGTGCAGATAGAAAAAATAACATAATACGAGTGTAACAAATTCTACAGGGAGGTTTTATTATTTCGAATAACGGAGTTAGTATTAAATAATAGTATAATTATATTAGGACTGTGAATATAATTCATTAAGCAAATATTAAGAAAGCTTTGAGCATAATATAATGAATTCATTCATTTTTAAATTTAAATTATCGAACTTAGAGTAGTCGCAGTAATTTATATAGGTTGTGTCTACATATAGATACAGAGTGATTTTTAAACATGCTTGTCTCGTTTTTATGTTTGAATTATGCATGTACTCAAATTCTGATTTTTGAAACTTTTAAGTGTAGTTTAAAGGTGATATTTTTGAATACTTCGATTTTTCACAACTTCCAATGAAGAAGTATCCTATGATTTCTATGGAAATACCAAAATTGATTTTTCATACGAGAACCTACATATTTTAATGCAAATTCAGAAAATCTTTCTAAATACTTAGACGAATTGTAATTGAAATATGAACGAAAAATAAAGGTCTTTTAAGCATTCGAAAATATCGTCTTTAACTATACACTTAAAAATTCCAAAAACCAGAATTTGAATATATCATGCATAGTTTAAATATAAAAATGGATGAGCATGCATAAAACAATACCCTGTATATTATAGGATATGTAGAATAATATATCATATTATAATGGTATGATATTACATTTTATCCGATAATGTGTGGTACTAAAATATTCTTAAATTTTATATTTGGAATACATTCTTAAATATTTTTTAATTGCAAAATCTAATAACAAATAATTAACAGAAACGTTTGGAATACCTATTTGAGAACACTTTTATTACATTTTTACTTCAATATTCCTTTTCTATTACAATTAGGAGTTGTTTGTAGATACCTAATGACATATAAATAATACATTATTATCATATATAGCACTGTTAATTTATAACTAAAGAGAAGTTACTTATCCTATTGGTATTCAAGTGGTTATTAGTTAATAGTGTTACTGATTACCACTCAAGTACTCAAGTGTTCACTTAATTTATATTATCTTAAATTTTCTTAATCGTATATATGATATCTTTATTGTAATAACTTCAACAAAAGATTTTCTGCCTTTTGAGTTTATATACATATTATACCTGCATATTCACAGCCCTAGTATAACAACACTTCTGCAGATTGTTTCATCCTGCAGTTCCGTATTACAACAATAACATATAATAATATCACATAATTTACCATCTCCGTATATACATATATGTATTATGTGTGTATAACATATAGATCACCTCCGAGAACACGACGCTCGTCCACATCCAGCACAGGTAGCAGTGGTAACGGTGGTTACTCCGGCGGCCTGAGCCTGACGTCCGGAGGCCTAGCCACGGCCAAGCGAGCGAGCCGCCGCCGGAGCCGATCGCCGTCCCCGCGGCCGACCACCAAACTGAGTACGCCCGTGGACGCGGGCCGTCGGAGCAGAAGCCCCACGCCCCGACTGGGCACAGACCACTTGGTCGTGGCCAACACCGGCTGTAGGTCTAGGTCGGTAACCCCTAGCAGGAGACGTACACGGCGGTCCGCTTCACCTTCATCCGGAGCTGCAGGTAACGGCGGCGATCGTTTGTTACATGTGCCAAATGGACAGCGACAGTCCAACGACCGCAGCCGTTCGCCATCGGCGACGCGCCAGCGAAGCGGAGTAGACGACACGCCGACGCCAAAGATATCGCTGAACTTCACGTCAGAACTGGCCGCCGAGTTGGGCGACCGTTTGCAACGGTCTTCCAGAGAGTCGTCCGTGGACATAATACACCAGCGTGAGACTGGAAAAACGGACGGTAACCGAAACGGTTGCGATGACTGCAACGATGGCGACGACGACGACGACGACGACGTGACCGTGGACACGTCGTCCACGTGCCGGGTTTCGGATAACTTCCGAGGCACAGAACAGTACCGCGTGCTCAACCCCATGCCCGTCACGGCCATCGGCGAGAGGCGGCATTCGACCGTCAGGGAGGAAGAGTCCGTGGTGGACACGACGCCTTTCAGCCGCGTGTCGGACAGCCTGAGGGTGGCCGCATACGATTGTCCAGCGTCGGCGGGCAGGAAAAAGTCGCATACAGCCCACGGGGACGCGAAGAAGTCGGAACCCGTCGGCACGGACAGCGGTTCGGAAGTGTCGGACGAGGGCTACAGGAGTCTGGGAGTGGTGGCTTCACCGCCGTTCAACTCTAACGTAAAACACGTGCAAAAATCAAACGGTAAGCGTCATAATATAATTGTTACGCGAAATATCGTTCGTTATAATATGCTACTCGTGCACTTACAGCTAGAGAGAGGGATAATCGGTATGAGATAATAATTCGTATCTATATAAACATCGTACATATTATGTCTAACTCGAAAATAACCGTTTCTGAATTTTAACAAATTTTGAGAAAAAAAACAACAGCAAGTTTGCGTCTTTGTAGGATCATTTTGATGTATCGTGTGTTCCCGTTTAGTGTAGACCGCGGTATATTATAATATACATTCTACATATACTCTGTTCGATATATAATATTATTATACATTGTTCAGTTACAATTATCTGTTTTTAAACACCGTTTATAATATCATTAGCATACATTATAAATGTATACAATAATAATACATTGCTCTCGGATCGTCGACATTGACATTGGCGTGATGTATGCCAGAGAAAATTCTATTTTAATAATGCCCGAGTAGGTACGCGTCCAACGTATCCGCGGGTTTGTGTCGTTGACCTAAACAAACATAATATCATAACTATACGAAAGAAGATTTTCGATATTTTTTAGATTAGCCCGTTATTGCTATAGGTATCTAAATAATAATAATAATAATAAAAAAAAAAAATGTTACGATAACCTTAATGTTATAAAATAAAACATGCTTAACAAATCACAATGAAAATAGTTCGGTGTTGATATTCGCTTTCAATCGGAACGTTATAATAGTTGTAATTCTTTCGTCTCCGGTTCATTAAATAAATATTTAACATTTTAAATTATCAAACGTAAAATTTTTTTTACTGTTTTTATTTTTAAAAAAGGATATATAATTAATTCTCTGTGGTTAACAGACACGATGGCTAATTAATGTAACATATGTTAGATTACCCATGACTTAGGACCACCACAAAGAATTAATTATATGCAATAATTAGTTTTGTAATGTTACGATACAGGTAACATCCTACGCGTAGCCACAAGCGTTTTGTCACGATTGATAATCTCGTTATAATACATTTTAAATTATACTGATATACTTATGCTCATGGGCTTAGTATCGCATAATAAATGTTTAAACAATAAGTAGTTTGGTGTGTAGATATCAAATATGTATGTTTTGATAAAACTGCTTTGCATTTTGGTAGAATAATTTTTTTTGAGTCTCGTGCATGTATTTTGAATTGTCATTTATATAAACTTATAGCCGCATATAACACTTATAATTTATAACCATATTATAGTATATATCTGATTGTGGTTAAAGTTTATGAATGTAATATCATGTGAGAACTCGCAGTCGACACGAACACCAAAGGATTAAATCAGGTAGGATGGATTGTAATAATATGTTGATGAGTTGGCAGAAGAGGTACATGATGCAGTTAAGTAATATAATAAACGTCTCCCCTCCTACGAGTAATATATGCGGGAACATCCGCAATAATAATATTATCTTACCTGGAAAATGTTATTTCGCATCTTGTTGTGATTTCTCAACGCAAATTTATATTATTATTATTATTAGTCACTTTCATCATTATCTACAATAATAGTAGGTAGGTATATTATTATTAAGCCGATTGAGAAATACTCGACGGTGACGACTGACGACCATTCGCTTGATCACTATAAAACATATTAGCCTCGTCGCCGTTATCAATGTTGGCACGATATACATTTATGAAGGTATGTGTGTAATAAATTATAATGCATACCTATGTAAAATATATTATATTATATTTGAGCAAGTTTACGCAAGTTGAATTTATAGCTTAACTCGAATTTCAAAACTACACGAAGTCCATAAATATTCTCGTCTCGAACGCTGTCTCCAGATTTAGTCGACCAATCCCTTATAGTATATACACAACTGTCATGCAAACACCTTCCCACTCTCCAGACTACTGTGTCGAAACCCTACGTGGTTCAACGTGTTTTCAGTTGGCTGACCCATACATCATCACGTTTATTATATATATACTATAATATGCATATTATATTTAATATATACATACACACATATTCCAGTGAATAATTTTATTTAAAATGTTATCTCGCCCACATTTTGACACACCGAGCCAAAACCACGTATGTATGGCGCAGCGATTTGGGTTCAGATTTTTAAGAAAAATTATTTTTCTTAACCCGTCAAAATTGCCCACGCGCGTACTATACCTGTTTGATCGGACTACACTTCGACCACGGCGGGATAAGCAGTTGCAACAGGAATGCCGGGTGTCTTTACCTAGATAAACGTAATTGTTTTATCCTGAACTAGAATCGGAGGGTGTGCTCGAAGCGGTGCCGGTATATTAGTAGGTTTATAATATATTATTATTTTACTTTATGCGTAAATTATATTACTATTACATATTAGGTACGTGTACCTACGTAGGCACTGGTAAATTTTCGGACGTTCAACATAACGTCTGTGGTGGAATATATATACACAAAGCTGTAATATTTATTAATATTATACAATTTATGAACGAAGAAAATCATTATATTTTTTTGCATAACTTTTACCTCATAAAATATACTTACATAATAGTTTCGAAATAATAGAAGAATAATCGCATAAACAATATTTTTTTCAATTGTTTTATGGACTATTTTCGAAAGCGAGCGTTTATCATCAAACAAAAAGTGGTTTAACTGTATTTCGAGAAAAATGCRTAATGTTTTAAGTATAATAATTTATCATTGTTCTGTGATCTTGAAAATAAGAAATAATTACTTTTACTTGCAGTCAAATTGACAATGGAAAAAAAGAGGGAAACAAATGAAAAGCGTAGCCGGGTCAACATAATAATAATAATAATAATTACTATTTATAATACATTCTTAGAATAACGCGATCGGTACAAAAAAAAAAAAACTTAATAACTTTTGATATAATACTTTGTATTTTAATATGGTTCAGTCGTCGTCACTGCGCGTGTGTACGTGTTAATTAATTACTACGCTCGACGTCTGTTAGATTTAGGGTGGTAACTGATTATTTCTAATTTTTATTAGAATTTATTGTATTTTTCAATTGAAAAAAATTATTATTTTTAAACCGTTTACAATAACTGTGAGAACAGTAAACATATTGTATACAGTCTGATATTGCTTCTCGGTTATAAACGCATAATATTATGCAATTCAAATTCGAAACTGGAACGCAGGAGTCAAGCTCGCGATAATACTATCGTGCTTAATTTTTTCAACTCATTCGCTTCGCATACCTGTGTGCATGTTCGCGCGACGACGAACAAATGAATAGCCCGCCGCGCATTACCGTTTAATTAATTATTAATAATATTATCAACCGTTGATTTATCTTGTGTGATTTACGTTGCAGTCGATAGTCGCGATACCCTTCGAGTGGGTGGTTACGCTATATTATACCTGTATTATAATCGTCCGAGCACGTATTTAACACTAACCTAACCTAACTTCACGGATATATCTTGCGTGATGCCGTGATGCTTACACCGATTAYAAATTATAATGGTATTTAATGCTTTCCCGCCGTATACGCGACTATAATATTATGATGAATATACGTCTGAAACGGATTGCGGCAAGTTAGGGGCTCACGATTCGCGGAGACGGTCAAAATAGTAAATACGAATAGCCTCGGGGAACGGCGCAAAACAACGTCAAACGAGAGACAAAATAAAAAAATAAAATAAAATTTATAATTTGTTGCCTATACATCATACCTATATACCTACGCCACGCCGGGCGCATAATATAATGCGTAAACACATATTATTATTATTATACGACTTTACCGTCCACACTGTCGGACACGCCTGTAYATTTTTTAACATATATTATAAAAAAATAATAATATACATGTGCCGTAATCGTCACCGCGGACGCGTCTGCACGACGTCACGCTAAACCACYGCGCGCTTACTCGTAATGGTCGTCGTCATCATTGTGTTATTATTATTTATAGTAGTCCGCGGGACATACGACGCGCTACGACTTATTATTATCATTATGTAATAATGAAATAATGGTGAGATTCGTCGGCGCGCATAATATCGCCGATGGTTCCTCGTAAAAAGTCTCGTGTTCCGCTCAAAGTTCAAAACTGTTGTGCAAAAAAAAAAAAGATATATAAGTAGGCAATAGAAAGTAGATATCAAAAATATCAAATATACCTAAGTATCCATGCTCGCCGTGGATCCGGTCTATTATAATATAATATGTCAGACGATTGTTGCCAAAAAACTAGAATTATCTCAAAATCTTGGAATGTGGTCAGTGGAATCACGAAAAATGTAATTACCTACCAGTTTTAACGTATAAAGTAAATGTGTAGAAGGTAATGACTATAACAATGATTGTGTATGATTTAAGAAATGTATAGATAACATAAACTATAGGTACTAAGTATTATTATTGGTGGCAGTATTGTGATGAACAGTTCCCACCCGTTCTTGGTTTTTGAACAGGAAATAAAAAAGTATTAAATATTATTAATATCATAAAATACTATCACTCACCATAATATTATACTAATAATAATAGACATAATATGTGCACAACCCAGACTTCAAGTGGAGTGTTCGTGGAAAATAATATTTGAAATACTTCTAAGTTGTTAGAGTACTTAATCTAGGGTGCATTGCAGATGAGGGGTATGTAGCTATTGTGGTCCCTCTAATGTGGCGGTTTAATCATAAAATAAAGGGTGGATGTAGGAGAGTAAAAAMTCAACACCAGTATTTACCATAAGTTAGCCTGGTTACAGACGATAAAAAAAATATATATATTGCATAACTTTTCCATGTAAATATGTATTTTATAATATTGCGATGACTGATGAACATAGAAGTAACATCTGTGCGGCGGATCTCAGAAGTATTTTGTTTTTCAGTCAACCATTTCAAAAAGGGCAAACTTGTCCTAGAATATACAAAACTCGAAATCATATATTTATATGTTTTGTACACTTAGTATATACCATTTACATTAGTCACTATTTTTAATTTTTTGTGACCTATTTTCTGAACATTCTTAAACAAATTAGCGCCTATAACCCAAGTCAGGTGTAACGATGTACACCATATTATTTAACAGTTTTTTGTCATTTTGTCAGTGACCGTTGAGAATTGACCTCATGCTTAACCTCCTTTATACATCACACATATTGTAATATACATTATATACACTTTTTTTTTTTCTATTAAAACGGCAATACACTCACCACCCGGGACATTATACACACCTAATCTGATTTAACCTAACCTTATCAAACCTTTATTTTATCGCAGTGTGTCATATCGTTATGCGTTTGATTGTAGGCACGCCACCGGTGACACGAGTTACGCGGCCACCGCGAAGCCGTTCTGCAGGCGGCAAGGAGACGCCCAGCCCGCAGCAGTCGCCGTTCCGCCGGAACCGTTCTACCACCCAGTCGTCGAGACACCAGCAACCAGCGCCAGCGATCGGCCGGTCGCAGACGCCGACGCCGACGCCGAGCCGCCGGTCACCCGCACCGTACGCGGACGGTGGCCAAYACCAACYGCCGTTTTCGGCGTCGTCAACGCCGGCCACGCCGCTGCTGGGTCGGAACAACACGTGGAACGCGGCTGGTGGCCGGCACTGGTCGTCCAAACAGCGACCGCAAATGTCGGCCGACACATTTTGCCAACAGGTGGCCGACATCATCAACCGGTACGCAGTTATGGCGCCCAGTCCCCGGAAAGACTCGAAACCCGATTCGCCGATCGTCACCAGGATACCGGCGCCGGTCCAAAGGACTTGATGGTTCTCGCCGCCGCCGTCGTTGTCGTCGTCGTCGTCATCTTCGATTGTAAAGACAAGTCAGCGGTTAAATCGTCACCGGAAGGGCTTGGTGGAGGGGAAAAAATTTTCTTTAAAAAATAAAAAATTAACACTCCGTACTCTCTGGATTTTCGCTCAGATTCAGACGATTCCGTATGAATAAAACCAATGTTATCGAACTATTATTTTATTATGACGCGTTAGACATATTCTTCAGCTTTAGCACACCGGACACGCGACTATAATAATAATTGATTTATTTTTTTTCGATACGATGACGACGATGRCGATAACACGACRACAAATATTACGTTTGTGTATTTAAAAAAAAAAAATTTATTTTTATTGCGTATCGATATTGTTTTATGTGTTGTTTTTCTGCGATCGGATTATAATATTATGATACATAGGTAATATTATAGTATAATTTTTATTATTATTGTCTTGTGCATATTATATTTATTATTTATTGTACGTTGTTATAATATTTAGGTGCATAAATAAAAAATATAATTTTTTTTTGTTATGTGTTTGTCGACGATGGCAGACGAGGAAGACAATATTATGCTTTTCTCGCGCGAACGAATGGTGCTAAAAACCGACCTTAATTAGTGTTACGATTATAATAGTATTATATAATATATTATATTATATTATCGTTATGTGATAATATTGCAAATTTATGAAGGGTTGACGCATTGGCGAACCCGTGACTTTCTTTTTTCCTAGGGGTCGTAACGGTAAAAAACTGTGCTTCCCCTATAACGAAATCACTAAATACTTTAAAAWATAAATACATATTCAGGGGCGTGTTGTACACGACCCCTTAACCTCCCTTCCACTTTCGCGTGTGCGTCACTGGGTTAGCATGTGTGTATTAGTTATCATAATATTATTATTATTATTATCATTATCACCATTGTAATTTTAATGCATATAGCGTATCTTGTGTATATGCTTAGGTATATAATATGTTATATATTATTACCGCTGACTGTTATTATTTGTAAGAACACGATCTTCATATAAATACGTGTATATATATATATATATATATATATATATATTATGAATGTATAATAATAAAAAAGCATATACTTATAGATGTGGGGTAAATTTACAATGACTAAATATATCATAATATGTTTTATATTTTATATAGAACGGTCATTTTTTTTTTTTGTAATATCTATACGCATAGGTAAATATAATAAGGATGTGTGCGCTATTGTTGTAATAGTCGTGTCAAATTGTGAACTCGTGTACCTATATACCTACAATAAAATATTATATGGTATATKACCCTACCGTATCGTACACATCATATAGGTATTACGTAATATTATATAATTTTTATTATAGACAATTTATTATATACATACTATAATAATGCATTATACTTTAAATTAGCTAAATAAACTAACAAAATTGTTGAGGAATTTTTTTCGTTTGTTTTATTTTATTATCATTGTGTTTTCTTATCATATTATAACAATATATACCTACAAGCTCACGCGGAGGAAACTTAAAAAACATGCATAAATAATATACGATTTCTGGTAACGTCAATACTTAGGTAATATAGCTGRTATGCGGTATGTACCTAAATGTGTATATTATTAGGTATTATAAGTACGTGTTCGATTATTACCCACTCGTTACTTGTCACGGCTAAAATGTTATTATGCATATTAATATAGTTTGTCGGGCGGTATAGACGACTGCCATTTTTGTTGTTGTCATTGCTGGCCGTCGTCGCCGCTGTGATGTAACCAGTTTTATGTACACAACAATCAGGAATTATAATATTATGTACCTGCAATCACCGTGCCCGGCTCGGACGAGCGTGTTTTTTTTTTATATTATAATAATATATTATAGACATAAAGTTCGTTTGTGTTTGTGTTTTTTTTTTCAATCACGAAAAGACATTAAAATCAATTTTCGCATGTACGTGTAATATATGCATAACATAATATTATATGATATTATACAAGTTATTATAATAGGTGTATTTTATATACAGATTTTAAAATGCGTACGACCGCTGTGGTGATCGACATGACCGCCGACTATGAAATAATGATAATAATATAATATTGTAATATCGCGAATTACGAACTACACGACCGACGCGCGACGGACCAAAATAATAATTATTATTGTGTGTTCYTCGTATAAAACTACGCGTATTCGTGCAACAATCGCACAACACAATCACGATGAACATAATAATAATAATAATAATAGTAATAATATGTACACACGCCGAACGACGACGCGTTGGTCCGTCGCAGCAGCCKCGGCGAGAGGAGAGGGCAATAATTGAACGAAATGTACGGCTATATACGACGACTAAAATAATATAGAATATAAATATAATACTTTGTTGCGTCGTACGTCGTATACGTGTAGGTACGTCATGTTACATTCTACGGGGTGACGCTTTTGACGGGAGACACTAAAAGTATTGTTCGAAAAA